CTGCCTTTTTGGTGTTCCTGAATGTAACACTCAGGTACACCTCTCCCCCTGGTGTGTCCCTGGACACTACGCTTGCCCGTAGCTGGGAACACCTGTTCACTTCCTTTTCTTTCCTCCTCTTCCTCTTTTCCCTCTTTCTCTCCGTCTCTGTCTCTTTCTCTCTTCCTCTCTTCTCTTTCTCTTTCCTTTCTTCCCCTTCCTGGCTGTCCCTGGATGCTTTCGTCATGGCTGGGGACCCTCTTTTGGTGTGTCCTTGGACGCTTGCGTCGTAGCTGGGAACACCTTCTTTTCCTTTCCATTCTTCTTTTTCTTTCCTCTCTTCTCTCCCTACCCCTCCCTCCCTCGCGCGCGATGCGCTCACACACAAAAGAGGTGTTGCAACAGGTTTTCAATGAGGTTTGGCTTCATTGGTTCTCGTCCCCTCCATTTGGTTCCCTTTTCATCCTTCTCCTTCACACACATTTGTTCTCCTCTTTTCTTTCATGTCCTCCTGTCTTCATGTCGTGGCACAACATTCCTTCTTTCTTTTGCGCACACATCGGTCCTGGCCTTAGTGTGTACGCGCGCATCTTCACATACTTCTAACCCAGGCTTCAGGTCGCCCAGGTTGGCTAATGAGGTGGGGTTCATTGTTTGTCTCTGCGCACTTGGTTCTTTTTCATCGCAGCCACGTACACTTTTGTGCTGTCTTGTCCTCTTTTCATGTCTTCATCCTTTTGTCCGTGCGGCGCGCACACGTGCACTCTCACCTTAACCTTGGTTCTTCGCCTCCCCTTGGAGTCACAGGGATCCTGTCGGATTGGTTTTTTGCAGCATGGGGCAGCAGGGAGTCCACAGTTCTGCTGCCAACGAAGACAGCAGTGGATACTCCGTAAGGCAGATTGGGGTGCCAATCTGTGTACCTGCTATTGAAAACCTAAGTATGGCAAAAGCTGTCCAATACGTTGTTTCAGATTTGATCGCCGTACACTGATTTACCCTGGTCTTCTTAGGTTTTTCACTTAGGCTGGCGTGTGGCAACCGCTTTCCAACCAGTACGCATTCCCATAAGTGTGTGAGACCCTTGGAGTCACAGGGAATCCTTTGATTTGGATGCTCCAACTTCCTTTTTTGGAGCAGGGGGATGAAGAGGACGTATGAGGCTCCATCCAACGAAACTCCTCATACGATCCTAGGATATCTTCAGGGACACCTGATGACGTACCTGCTTTGTGATGACTTCTCATTCACCACTGGGCCCTGTTCTAACTACCACAAGCTTGCCAGCAGTCACGCGTTTGCCACCTTTGAGCTGTACGAGTTTCAGGTTTTGGAGGCTTTGGAGGTTTTGAGACGGCACACCGCTTTACTTAATACCTGCTCTACCCAGGCAATTTTTTCACTTAGGCTTCTTCAGGGGCTTGCAACGATCAGTTTCCGTACGTATTATCTCGAGTGTGTGTGTGTGTGTGTTAACCCCTGTTTCGAAGGGAACTAACCATCTATTTCTCGTGTACTCTATTTCGCTGAGTTGCACCTTGTACAGCAGCAGCAGGGGGGTAGTGCACGACTGACAGACACTACCCAACGAAGACACTGTCAGCTCGTGGTGAAGCAATGTGGGACGCCACATTGTGTACCTGCATCAATTTTTAAATTATGCTCCATGTTTCACCTATGTTCAAACATTCTGTTTTTCTGACCCTTCACTTTCTTTCCGTTGAATCAAGTCAAGTGCTAAGTATTCACTTAAAGGGCTAATGCTCACCGCGAATACTGAAGACAAGCTCCGCGGAGCAACCTTCTCAAGTGTGTTTCGCAGCTTCTTCCCACTGTGGTAAGCTGTGTGAACCCTACGGGGCGCCGTTACCGAGAGAACCTTCTCACTCCTCACCGTGGGAGTAATTTCTCTGATTTTTTCTGAAGTTCTTCCGACCGTCTCACCTCGTACACGTGAATTTCACTGCAGAGTTCACTGAAATACTTACTGAATTTCACTGCAGAGTTCCACTGAATCATGTTTCACCCGAGAGATGTCTTTACCAATTTTCCAGTTCCAGTTTCAATTTGTTGACAAAGCGCCGATTCGGCTTCTCGGACAGTGCCTACGGGAAACTGCCGTTCGCTCGCAAGAGCATCCATGGACCTTGAGTCCGTTTACCCTACCCTGCACCCCCTGCACCTTTGCTTGTCTTTCCTTGCCTTTTCGTTTGTCTTGTTCCTTCCTTCCGGCTTTTTAGGTGTGATCCAGGCTCGTTTAGTCAACGCACGCCCTGCCCCCCCGCACCCCCTGCACCTTTCTCTTCTTTCCTTGCCATTTCGTTTGTCTTGTTCTTTTCTTCAGGCTGGTTAGGTGGCAACCAGGCTCGTTAGTCAATGCACGCCCGAACACCCCTTCACCCCCTGGCGGAGAAAAATAAAAGGGAAAAAAAAAGAAAATGAACAGAAAAAAGACAAGGACCAATGACTGAATCAGCAAAACGAAGCGGTCAAGCACAGTTAGCGCTGCAGCATTGCAGCCATTCAAAAAAGACAGTTTGCGTTGAGTTATGCCTTGAATTGTACTATATAGATGCGCCGTCTCGGCTTCTTGTGTGTGTGTTAACCCCTGTTTCGAAGGGAACTAATCATCTATTTCTCGTGTACTCTATTTCGCTGAGTTGCACCTTGTACAGCAGCAGCAGGGGGGTAGTGCACGACTGACAGACACTACCCAACGAAGACACTGTCAGCTCGTGGTGAAGCAATGTGGGATGCCACATTGTGTACCTGCATCAATTTTTAAATTATGCTCCATGTTTCACCTATGTTCAAACATTCTGTTTTTCTGACCCTTCACTTTCTTTCCGTTGAATCAAGTCAAGTGCTAAGTATTCACTTAAAGGGCTAATGCTCACCGCGAATACTGAAGACAAGCTCCGCGGAGCAACCTTCTCAAGTGTGTGGGCGCGCGCGCCTGGGACCAGCATACCACAGTTGGCATGATCTCAACCCAGTGTTGCGAAGCTCACCAATGATTTAGGAACATTGTTCATTTGGTTGCCCACGCAACTGCAGCCTGAGCAAGGTACTTGCCGTGCATCTTAGTTTCTGAGGCTCATGGACCTTGAATTTCGCCAGCTCTATGCTCACTGAGCTCCAGGCTGAGTCTGAGATGACATCAGAGAACCCCCTGCCAAGATATTGCAGGGCTTGGAGGCTCAATACTTTAGACTTGGTGACCTGGTTGTGGTAATTTTATACGTGATCTTGACATGTACTATACAACTTGGTGCGCTTCCTGGTGGACCCTTCCATGCCCATTTTTCGCCCATGTCTCAATGTCTCACCAGATCCACGGTCCGTTCCTTCTGATTCCTAAGATCCCGTTCAAGCCTTCGGGATTTGAAGCGAACAGGGACGACTGGGCCACAGGCTGATCAGGCCGATGTTTACACCATATATTTGGAAGAAAGTCCGAGGTTCAGCCAAAGAAAGGTTTCGACAAGCTAGCCACAGAACTCATGTTCCCGGTCACTCCTTCGGGAGAAAGCTGCCTTGGTTCAGATCATTCAGCCTCGTGACGACCAGACGCACATTGCTTGGTGTGCTATTTTCGCAGGTCGTCCACCTCTAAACCTCCAGCCGTAGCATGGACTCGCGTGCTAGTCGGTTGAATAGCCTCCGAGGCTTGCAGCGACATCAGAGCAAGTCTCGGCGACAGGATCCAGATCACACGTAGTGAAACATGCATTATTTTACAACAGTCTCCTGCATTTGGATGCAGCGGATGCGCATGTTTTGATTTGGCTGAGACTGAAACCGCAATACAACAAACTTCACAAGCGTTGAATACTAGCAGGTTGTTTAGAGAAATTAGGTTCTCAAACAATAGGGAGCAGGCTGCAGAAAGAATGGACAACACGGGAGACAGGTTCTATCCTATCCCAACCGCCCAAAAATCATCCAACATCTACACTCCCTGTAACTAACATGGAAGTGGAGAATGGCCCCTTGGAAGACCATTTTCCACTACAAACAGGTGGTGCCATTTTCCATGTTAGTTCCAGGGAGAGTATATCATGTTGCAGTGTTGTTACATACTTGTCTTTCGTTTACAAGTCCCACCCACCGCGTTTTTTCTCCAATTGCTCCGTTCAACGCGGCGCCTTGGTCCGTAGCGGCCGAGACGCGGTGCCAACATGAAGGACTCACGCCAAGTCATTGTACCCAGAGCTGTGGCAGAAAACTGTCAAGTGGGAATTGATGGCTAGAGTGGCTAGAGATAAAGGCACGAGCAGAAGAGGTCTTGGAAGTCACCACACTTCCTGCTAGGCAGCAAGGGAACTCGGGGTTTGTCATTCAATGTGGTGTCGGAAGTTGGGTAGCCACACCAAAAGAGCACAGGTTCGTTTTGGAAATCCAACTTTCCCCCTTTACTTCGCCATGGGATGCTCTTCAGTTGTTGGATACATTCCTCATCTTACAATGTTCCTTTTGATATTTTTTGATGCGTTCCTGATGGCCGTACAATTCTTTCCCTCCCGCGCCAAGTGCTACAACTGGGTTGCTCATCGTGTGAATCAAAATTAGAGAGCTCGCCGATTCAAAAGGAACCGAGTTGCGCGAGTTGTGCTGTTTCAAGCTGCTTCGATTTGTTTGGTGTGGCTTTGGTCAGTGGCAAGTGGTCGATAGTACCTCATCGCGGTGTGATCATCCCTTTCTGCGTGCCTTGATCTACTGAGCTAGTGATAGTCTTTTCCACTGCGACCAGCTGCCAAACGGCTGAAGCAAAATTGCTGAGTGTTGGGCTGGGTGGATATCAACGAAGACCGGCTTCATATTCACTGAGCTTTGCTGGTTGCCAAAGCTGTTCATGTCCCAGAGAACTTTTCTGAGTCTTTGACTTGCTGATGTGTTCAAGGACCCTGAGATGGTTTACAAGTTCATTGATTTATGTACACAATCCACAGACTCAGCCAAGACGCGTTTGTTATCACGCCAATTGCCTTCCCCATAGCAACGCCCTAAGCGTCACTGAGGTGCTCTCCTACCATGTGCCACCACCGGTGGACGCCTCAGGGCTGCGGACCTGTGGGGCGCTCTTGATAGTAGTAATGCCCTTTGCTCCGTTCGTGGCGATGCCAGGAGCCCCGATCGTAGCGTCCTTGCTCCAAGTAGCGATGCACCCTGCTCCTAGTAGCTTCTTGGCAAGTTGGCTAGCTCAGGTTTTTTGAAAGTACTTGAACTATCTTGAATCCTGGCTTTTCCAAGAACTGCTGAACCAGGCAGTCAACAGCACAAGCGTCAAATATCACTTTGTCTTTGATGAGCGACTGAGGTGCCGATCATGCTCGGAGCCTTCAAACTTTTCTCTACTGCAATTTGGGTGCCGGACCCAGATTGGACCATACCGAAATTGGCGGTAGTCTTAGTCGAATTGGTGGGCCGTGTGGGTACGAAAGTTCAGGGTGAAGTTTTTAAGAGTGATGTGAGTAGCCGTTGGTTTGCGTTCATCTTCTTCAGCCCCGTTGACTCGGTTCAGGCTGACAGCGCCCTGTCTCAACCTTGACTCCAAACGATTCCGCACCTTGCATTACATAAGCCCAAGCCAGGCACAGCTGACGGTAGCAATGTCCATGTCAGCATGACAGGTCCACCCGTTGGAAGTTGGAGACTGCAAGCTAGGACCTCGGAGAAAGGCAACAGAAAGCAACACAGACAACCACGTACGTACATCAACTTGTCTTGCCGGTCGGCAACGGCGACATGCAGATTTCTTGTGCACACAAGTCGGCGCTACGAACGGGTTGGCTCATGCATGAACCAAGCGCCTGTGAAGCTCGACATTGTCGTCTAAGGGTCTAACCTGCTTGTGCCGCGCACACTGTCAGTTCCATGCCGCGTTCAAGCAACCTTTCGCTTATCATAATCTTGCAAGCTGGCCACAAGGCAGCTCAAAGACTGATTGTTGCAAATCTTTGTCACACATATCCACACATATCCACACCTATCCCCATCTTTTGCCGCAGTTGCTCAGGGCTCCTCTCTCAAAACTGACACCAAAGTGTTTCACACCACTTCACCTCTCGGATCCTTTCCGAGCATTGGAAGGCTTTCTAAGAGAAAAGCACCCTTTCCTTTTCCACGTCTTTTTTTGGGTCCAGTGCAGGTGCCACCCCTGTTCGGCTTTGCGGGCTTTTTAATCGGCAGCCTCTACTGGTGGCCTAAGCCTCAGGGATGAGATGGGCACATTTTGGAGCTGGCAGCTTTTGGCTGGCGGTTTCTTGTTGAATGAGGGAATTTTATGGAAGTCCTTACTTTTCTTTGCTATGGAAGAATTTCCACCGAGATAATGAGGCTTTTGGTGGACAGGCAGGCACAGCGCAAGGTCGATTCCTCACCGCTTGGGGCCCTTGGGAGCCCCGATCGTAGCGTCCTTGCTCCTAGTAGTATGGCCAGGAGCCCCTAGGGCGCTTGGGGCCTAGGATCGATGACTTCTTGGAGATTCCAGAGGCGAAGCGCTGCCCGCGTCGGCCCCCAGCTGAAGGCAATTGCTATGGCTATGGCAGCCACTATGAGAGCCGCGATGGAGTTAAAATATGTTGAAATAGCATTCATGGCGTCGCATTTGCAGCGAGCATGTTGTCGCGGACATGTTCCGGGTTTGCTCAACTGTCATTGCATGTCGCAGGGTCCCAGGTGGTTGCTCGAAGTTGTTTTGTGATGTTCTCAGTGGATTCAATTCGCACATTGTGCAATTACTTTCTGCACTCGTTTTCGGGGCCTCATCGCGAAGTTCCAAGCTTCGGAATACCATAGTGGCATATGGTGGCCTGCTTCCAGTGACCAGGTCTCTCCTCCAGACATTTGCAGCTGTGACACTTTTTGCCAGAGACTTGTGGGGTTGGACAGGTTGGAGCTCGGCCATTTCTGGAGCAGATGTTGAAGTGTCATGCAAGTTGAGCTCTCATGTGAGAGGAGATGTGCAACAACTTAGTTCGGACGAATCATATTGTCACTGCCCACGCCTTTTTGGTGACGCATGTTAGGCTGGAAACTATGCGGCGAGTGGCTTCCTGTCTTCCAACCACCTGGGAGTAGGCAGGGCATGCAAGACAAACTTTAGAGACACAGATCAGCCATGTTTTGCCTGCGAGCTCGTTTCTTGTGTGGATTCTTTGTGGGGATCTGTGGGGTGAAAGAGAACTATATACTTCAGCATGTTTCCCCGCAGCTTCTTCCACGAATGAAGGAATCGCAAGGATTCAAACCTAGCTCTTCTGCAAGAAATTATGTTGTTCAATTATAATTCCGGCATGAGTTATGCAGGAAGATCACAGCAAGATCTGGTACCAAAGGACTGGCTGAACAATGCACTACCAAAATCTTGCTGGAGGGCTTTGCCATCAACTGAGTGAGAGATGGCATCTACACAATGTTGATTTCCAGCATTTGCGGAACCAAGCAATATTAATATATTTGTCAAGGCCAACTCTGGATCTCAAGAGATCTCAAGACCTTTTTCGGTGTTGCAAGCGACTTGCCATCCTGCGGCATAGAGACCGCCATGGGCTACAGCACAGAGAAAGGTGGAGGCACTGTGGGCACTTGACCTGCCTCGCTTTGGGCGGGAACGTGTTTAATATCTTTGCTGGTTGGCAGAATGTTGAAAGCCTAGTTCTCCCTATGTTCTTGCAATGCTTGCACATGCAGGTCTGTCCAATTGGAATGAACAAGCTGTCCATGCTGTAGGAGAGATGGATTGGCTTTGATTTGTTCACCCGCCAAGTCTGTTGGCCAATAACCTTCTTGCAACATGGTGAATCCCCGTGGATTTGATCAATGTAAAGGAGTTTGATGGGTATCGCAAGACTTCTCAGGCCGCCGGCGCGGCAAAGGCAGCAAGGGTGGCAAAGCTGAAGGTGGTAAGGGCAAGGCCTGGGATGCTGCCCAGAACTCGGGTGCCATTAAGTACACCCTGGAAGATTCTTGACAGTTTTCATTGTGCATGCAGAAGTGAATGTTTGATGAATGACTACTAGCAACAAGAAGCTACTAGGTTGGAGACCATCGCTATTAGGTTGGAGGCCATCGCTACTAGCAACAAGAAACTACTAATAATAAGTGCATCGCTACGATCTTGCTTCCTCCTAGGACTTAACACGTCTTCGGCCGCAGCGGGTTGTTGAAGCCTTTCCACATCTCAGTGTGGCTGCAGATTGGCCAGAGTCACGACCACCACGCTCTGGACGCTTGGTCTGATTTGCCCATGTTTGCCCTCACCAATGACAAGGAAGGCAAATGGATGAAATCGGCTGAAAATAGATGCTAACATGGAAAGAAAGTCGTGTTTGGCTACCCAGCCCCAAATCACAAAGTAAAATTGGGTGATGTGCCTGGTCCCTGCGGAGTACGAGGGTGTCAATGCGGGAAGGGCCCAACAAGTTCTTTGGTTTGTGTTTCAGTCCCGTTCAAGGGGTGTTGTTTCACCATTGTGGTAGTGAGAGGTCACTCTTCCTCAATGGTTCACACATTTTGAATTTGGAAGATGCCCTGATAAAGCCTGTTTCTCATCCAACATGCATCCGGACAGAGTCCTGATTGAATGATATTGGCCAAGCTGGTGTTGTCAGACCCTGGCCATCCTGCCATGCCATGTCCAAAACCAAAGGGAAGGCCTCTTCAGGCACCATCCGCAGGCCTCGTTCCTGTCATGTTTGAGGCTCGGCGTTTTATTTGCCCTTGATTTGGAGCCTTTGCCGCATGAAGCTTCGTTTTGCGACCCAGCGTCCAGCGTCAAAAGGAGTTTGGCGCTTGGGCACTTGCATACACTATTTGATATGATATGATCATATTGCAACGGCACAGAACAGCACGATTTTAAGTTCTTGACAGTGTATGTATGCCATGCTTCGGGGCACCTCATCAAGCTAAAGGAGGCCCTCGATGATGGCTTTCTGGCTTTGAGTTGCTTCCTTTCATTTGACAAATCAGGAGTGCGCTGCTGCCATCCGAAAGCGGCGATGGTGATCCAACATCAGATTTAGCAGTCCAGCAGCTGAACAGTCTCGGGGATGAGAAGCCTAGCTCATATTATCCAAAGTCACCAGGTTGATCAGAAACTGCAAGCATGAACCTAATAGCGATGCCCTCCAAACTATTAGCGATGGCCTCCAACCTAGTAGCATTGGAAGCCTCGTTCATGAAAGCGAATTACCGTTTTTGACTAAGGAAGCATTTCTCATCCAGACGTCGAGCAGGTCTTTTGGACGTGTGGCAGGCGAATTCTCAGAAGAGTCGCGTAAGGTCATATCAGATTGGAACGGGAAGAGGAAATAATACAACCACAACTTCTTCCACGTTACCTGGTGTTTGTGCATGCGTGTTGGGTTGAGTTGGAAGTTGTAGCCATGGGGCTAGGCCAAGCAGATTGACTGGTGCGACTTCAGTGTTTGAACTGTAAACATCAAGATTGCTTGGCACTGTCGCATAAACGAGCACCAGACATCTTAAAAGGTCACGATGCTTCAGATACCTGTTGTAAACACTTGCAGGGGTCAGATTGCACAGAGACACACAGAACATAAACAAGAGCAAGCCGGAGCAACCCGAGGGAGGCACGATGAGTCGATGAGTTCACAGGTTTGACTCGATGAAACGAAAGTGTGATAATCGGGAGCATCAGGAACAGGAGAGAAATGAGTTGGAGCAGGAAGATTGGCATGGT